AATGTTTTCCTGCTCTTCGCTTGTCCTCTAAATTGTCTTCAGACCCCATTCTCAATCCTCGTAATTGAAAAATATTTGTCTTCATCCTCATTCTCACATATTCTCACGGTTTCAATAAAGATTTGTGAACATCAAATCTTAAAAAAAGTTCTATATTTTTCTATCAATATTATCACTAGTATTTCGTTATTTTTTTTAAAATACGTATTTTTCATCTTTCTTTTTTAAAAATAAATATATATATTGCATCAATAACAACAAAAAAAAAGCAAAAATACTTACAATTATTAATACTTTTTTCTATCAAAAAAATAAATATTCAACAGCACACTCTAAAACAATAAAAGTTATAAATATCTGACAAATGTCTCCTAGAGTAACAAACATGCAAAAATAAAACCATTCACCATGATTATTATTGTTGCATTGATGAGAAACAACAAATGAGGATACTTATTTTAACGTTGATGAAAATAGAGGAGATAAAGTATGAAGGAGACAGAGAGAATTGAGAAAATAATAAAAGACACTGTGTATATTGTACGTATTTGAGACATTTTTTTAAAGTTGAGTAATTAAATACTAAAGCGATAAAATGAAATAAAAAATAAAATGATCATTGTTTCTCAATATTTATTAATGACTCTTTATTTTTTAATATATTAATTATTATTTTTTATTTAAAAAATATGTAAAATTATATAAATATATATTATATAACATGTTATACATAAAATTTAAATAATATATTCGTGATTGAAAAATTCATAGGACTGACAATACTTTCCCAATTTTCTGTCGAAAATATCATCAGAAGAATTTTTTCTTCCATCCCCATTCTTACGAAAGAAAAATACAAATTTACTTTAATTTTATTTAAAAATCTCAATTTGTCACAATGTTATAAAGTTTTCTTATACCATTCATCTCTAAACTATTATTGCTAAATTAATCCATAGAAATTTAAATATTCTACTAGTTTTGTTTGTTATTTTTATATTTTATAGATTAACTAGAATGTCTTTTATTTTCTATTTTTTTATTATATTAAGTTTTTTGTTTAAGGTTATTTTTGTCATTTTATAAATATGCTTTTTTATTTTTCTCACTAGAAACTTTTATCTTTCTTTCCTTTTATACTCTTTGCACGTTCTTTCCTTCAACTTTCTTTTACCAACCAAACATATATAGTGCTTGTAACACTAACATATTACTTCGAAACAGTAGATGAAAAATGAAACCGCCCCTAGTTTTGGCCTGCTTGTATTTTACTTCCAACAGAACAAGCCACTGGTTTCGGCTTAGTCCGTAACTAACTCCCACAATTCCAATCATTCACTAACCCTCCTATATATATATATGAATCCATAAACACCAACACATCATCACACATTAAAAAAAGTTCAAATTTCAACAAAGTTACAAGACAAAAATGAGTGCAGCTGCAACAAAAGCTTGGGTAGTAGCATCAAGCATAGGAGCTGTGGAGGCGTTAAAAGACCAACTTGGTGTATGCAGGTGGAACTATGCTTTCAGATCACTTCACCAACATGCTAAGAGTAATATCAGATCATATACTCAGACTAAGAAATTGTCATCTTCTTCTTCTGCTGCTGTTTCCAACAAGGTGAAAAGAACTAAAGAAGAATCAATGAAGAAAGTTATGGATTTGAATTGCTGGGGTCCTAGCACTGCAAGGTTTTGATAACTTATTCATCCAGAATTTTGTTAATGAAATGGTTTTGTGACCAAGAAAAAGGAAAATTGAGATTTTGTTTGTTTCCTCTTCATATGTCTATTAGTTATTGTATTGTTATAAAACAAGTAGAAGAGTGAGATCTAAATGAATGATGATCGTTGTTCCTTGCGGAAAGAAAAAGAAGAAAAATATATATCCTGTGAGTCTGTGACCCAGATCTAGATCAGGGTTGAAATTTGTGGATATAAACTAAAGATTTATTGTTTACTTGAAATCTGTAATATTCGATATTGAAACAATTATTAAAGGAAATATATGAGATTTTTTTTTTATTGTTTTGCTATTAATTGTTTTGGATATATTTCAATTTCTATGGTTTTGTGGCTGCCCAGATCATGATGATGATCTAAGATATAATATTATTCTAGTTTTATAAATAAATTCCTTTTACAATTTAATTCAGTTTTTATTTTTAAAGATTACTTGTTTTATAATTTAATTCATTTTTTAATTTTATAAATAATTTTTTTATAAGAAAATTGTTTTCATAACAATTTTAAAAATAAAAAATAACATGTAAAATAGGATCTTAAAACTAGCCTGTTCACGTCATTTAAAGTGTGCTCCTATTTAATAAAAAATACACATCAACACTTTTTATTAGAAATTGACTAGGGGATCAAATCTGGAATTTTTTTACATAAATAACTCACTTTAAAAAAATTAATTCAAAATACTCCATATTTCAAAATATTTTTCAAATTATTTCAGTTATAGTTTCTGATTGCATTTAGACACCATATCAATTGGCGATCCTTTGTTAAGGCATGGGTGGAGTCACCGATTAGATTGGAGACACCTCATGCAGTGTTCAATCCAATTGGTGTTTGTTATACTTAAAGGGGAGTCGTCAATTCATCTGGAGACATAGTGCATTATGTAAAAAAATTTACCAAAAATAAATAACATTATCATTAATTCAAAATACTATTACATAAATTAATGTTGGCGACCAGGTTGGTCATACCGGCCACCGGTACCACATGCCCTAGGCACCCTCACCCGTTGTACTTGTCCCGCCTTGTTGTTGATTCACGTCAGGTGTTTGATGAGTTGAAGTCTCAGGAATATTCTCAGATGGTTCCCTAAGAATTTCTTGCATTTCGATGAGGTTTAAGCGTGTGACCAATGCCAGAGTAGTTCAGATGTGATGAAAGGTTCATTGATGTGCGGCCTGGACGATTGAAGGGGGATATTGGTGCGAAGGATTCGTTGGTGAAAGGCTGAAATGGTAATGGTGTTTGAAATCCATAAGGTTGTTGGGATGTTTGAGTGTGTAGACTAGGGTATGATGTCTGGACGTTTTGGCTATGGAAAGATGTTTGGGCGTTATGGTTATGGTATGATGTAGACTCATTTAGGTATATCTTGATGTTCTGTTTGGGCCATAGCCATATTGGGTTTTTTGATAGTAGTCAGTGTGTTGGAGATGGTATGAGGGACGCTCTTGGTATTGTGGTTGGGTGTTTGACATGTTTGGATGGTTAGTGGGTTGGTAATTTTGTTGGGTAGGGGTTGTGAGTAACATGACATTCCTGGTGGGTTAGATGCTGAAACTTCTTAGGTGTAGGTGGTTTGTCGTGGGTCGTATAGATACCTCTCTTCGGAGAAAAATCCAGTTGCAACCGATATGTACCAAGCCATATAATTATTAGTTGGTATAGACGGGGTTGCCATCACCAGGTCACTAAGACATGGGCGTTGCGGTTCTTCCATCTACGACACTCAAGATTTTGCAAAATCCTTCCAATCGCGAAGTCCCAGTGATCATTAACTCTTTTGAGATGCCATTTATCGAGGTCAACAGGGGGATCTGGATGTTTTGATGCATTCCAAATTGTAGTTTGACACGGTAACTGTTGTGCATCTCCACAGTGGTGAATTTGATGATCGGCATGCAATTAGTCCAAACGACAACATCTTCCTCTCTGACTTCATGTAAGTGTTCTATGTTTAGATATGGATGCTAAATAAACTGAAGAAGAGAAAAATGTTAGATCATAAAATTGTTGATATAAAAAATAAATTGATTTGTTTAGAGGCCTTACATCTCCAGGGGTGATCCAACAGATTGCAGTATTGAATGATACAATGTCTAGGGCATCTATTGTAAGTCATACCTTTAGCCAACCATCTATTCAGGATCATCAAAAGCTAAGCGCAAAATTGATATGTCAAGACAGCTTTCCGCTTGTTAACAAGGATCCATCAGTGAAGGTGAGTATAATAATCTCTCATATCGTGACGCGGTATAATTATACTCTCTCATACAAGAAGGCGTGGATTGCAAGGACAAAGGTTGTTGAACAGGTATTTGGAAACTGAGAGGATTCATACAGGGAGTTACCATGATTTTTAGTAGCACTAAAGACATACACACCAGAAACTATTGCAATCACGCAGACAGTGCCGACATGTAGGCCAGATGGAACTATTGTTGATGGAAATGTCATCTTTCACCGTCTCTTTTGGCCGTTTCAACCATGCATAAGAGGTTTTGCATTCTGCAAACCTGTTATTCAAATTGATGTACGGAAAATACAAGACGACAAAAATAATGTTTTTTCCATAGTCTTTGCTCTAGTTGAGGGTGACACCACTTCTGCTTGGAGTTTCTTCCTTGAGAATCTCAGAATACATGTCGTTCCACAAGCCAATCTCTATTTGATTTCAGACAGACATGCTTCTATATAGAGTACTTACAATAACCATGATAACGGATGACATAATCATCCTTCTACCCATGTATATTGCATTAGAGATATTGCATAAAAATTCATGCGTGCAATCAAAGACAAGATCCTTCGCAAAAAAGTTGTGAATGTCGGGTATGGTCTAACTCAACCAACATTTCAATACTACCTTAACGAAATTAGGATGTCAAATGCAGATGCAGGAAGCTGGTTGGATAACATTCCACTGGAAAAGTGGAAAAGGACTTTTGATGGTGGATGTCGTTGGGACCACATGACGACAAACCTTGTGGAGTCCATGAACGGGGTATTCAAAGGAATTAGAAACCATACAATCACCGCTTTGGTGAGATCAACCTATTATAGGTTGACATCACTTTTCACAACAAGAGGAGAAAGATGGAATGTAGTGTTAATGTCGGGTCAAGTATTCAGTGAAAGCATAATGAAATTGATGAAAGAGGATACTATCAAAGCCAACACACATGCAGTTACAGTCTTTGACCGTCATAGGTAAACATTCAATGTACAAGAAACAATGGACCATAATGAGAGGAGGTTCATATGCTGTCAGACTATACAGATGTCGGTGTGACTGTGGCAAGTACCAGGCCTTCAGTGTACCTTGCTCACGTGACATTGCGGCATGCGCACATGCTCCTCAGGATGCTTATAGCCATCTATCTGATGTTTACAAGGCGATTAATGTTATGAATGTCTACAGCAAAGGCTTCGCGGTGCTACCAATGGAGGAATATTGGCCTTCATACCAAGGTGACATAGTTTGGCACAACGATGGGATGCGAAGAAAGAAAAAAGGACACCTAAACAACAAGCGTATAATAACCGAAATGGATACAGCTGATAAAATGATAAGATTATGCAGTATATGTCGTCAGCCCGAATACAACCAAAAAAATTGTCTCAATGTCGGAGCAACATCTGCATCATGATTTAACTTATCCTTTCAGTTGTTGTAACATAATATTTTCATATATTGACGAGTCTTTGTTACAACAATGTTAATAACAAACAACACATACTGCAGACTAATAACACACAACACATACGACACATAAAACAACTAACGGAAAAGAAACATAAAATATTCCTAACTGATTACAACAATCAAACTAATTTCATTAGGTCCAAACATGACTTCCCTCGCATCCTTGTTAGTCTTAACACGAACCCATCCATGCAACCGACCAAGTCTCTCGATACTTCAAATTTTTCCCCTTTCACCAATGTCTCCTTCTAAACACTGATTCAGCTCCCTCTTAAGTTGATTGAAACTTTGTATGTTCCAAAACAGCATGTCCATCAGAGGCTTTTCTTTCAAACAAACGACTTTTCCCCACCGACGACGATACATGTTATTAGTGGAACAAAGATATGAGATGAGTTGTGGAACTAAATGAACAAAGATATGAGACGAGTTATAAAACTAAATAATCAGAACGTCTCTATTTATAGAAAAAAATTCCAGTTTCTAAGCAGTCTCCAGATGAATTGGCGACTCCCCTATGTGTATAATACCAAATCGCCAATTGAATTGGAGACTTCACGAGGTGTCTCCAATCCAATTGGCGACTCCACTCATGCGCTAACAATGGGTCGCTGTCGCTACCGCAAAAATAAGGTGCCGGCAAAACAGAAGAGTCGCCACCTTTCGTTATTTATCCCTCAGAACGGGAAAGGAAACGATCGGAAAAACCTGACGAAAAGGGTATAAGACAAGGTCATCGCAACCATTGTCTGGGTTCGGGAGTCGGTTACGCAAGGGGAAGGTATTAGCACCCCTCACGTCCATCGTACTCGATGGGATCCACACTTGTTGTGTTTATCTGACGGGTTGGTTTTATCTATCTACCTATCAAGGCTGGCTTAAAAGAAAAAGGAAATGACTCAGCAAAGCGTCGCGCTTTATGCCTACGTATTCTCATCAGAGAATGAGAAATCAGAGTCAACGTAGTTCGGCTAACTACGGGGTACGGGGAAGGTGGCTCGCCAATACGTCAGTATTGTGCCTACGTACTCTCAACGGATATGAGAGATCAGAGCTTACGTAGTTCGGGATAATACGGATTACGGGAATTCAGATTCATCTGTTTTATCGAGTAGGGTTAACAAATAGTTCCAGCAGTTTGGCATACGCAGCTCAACCTTTGGAGACTCAGGCGTTATCGTTTGCGGTAGAACTGGGAGTTAACGACACTCTTTTCTTCAGAAAAGCTTTCCTTTGAATTACGGGCCCACGGGGCAAAAAGGTTTGAAGTTTGTTTTCTGTCTTTTACGGAAGAACTGTTTTTTATGGACGTTTGCAACCAATATCGCACTAGAGACTATGACCTGAGAGTGAATGCGTCGCATGTCACCCAAAGGGTGCCATACTAAACATCCAAGCTGTCGAAAAGAAACTCTCCGACAACCCTTCTCAGATAGCTTAAGGCTCGTAACGTACGACGTCAGTTAACTTTTATTACTGTATTTTAATTTGTTTGAAGATAAGAAGAGAGAGGGACAACTACAGGGAAGACTATCAAGTCCTAATGTTGTCATGCCAAGGATTCATCCTATGGTTGAAGTTTGAACCAGGGAACTCCTAGAAGTTATCATGCATAGGTTTCAACCTAAAGTTCTAATCATCACTTCCTTATCAAAGGAAATGAGATTCCTAGGGGATCATTTCAATGATAAACAGAAACAGATAAAGCATCAGCTTAAACAGTAAACGGTAAACGACTGTGAAATGCATGCAATGCAAGTGAGGGAGGAAATGTGTGTGGGGTGTCAGCCTCCACAAGCTCATCTCAACCTCAAGCCAGATATGAATAACTGCAATCATACAGAGAAATAACATGCTATCAAGCAAGATAGAATAACTGCAATCATACAGAAGAAATGACATGCTGTCAAGCAAAATACAACAGACCACATAGGCAAGGGAGCAAGGCTCTACCGAATACCCGCAAGCAAACCCATACAGTAAAAATACAAGCAGAGGGAGCAACTCAACCTCTAGTGAAATCATGCTCCTAGCTTAAGTAAATCTAAGTATGAACTTATTCTAATGCATCAAGCAAATCAAATAAGGCACATCAATACAGTTGCACAGAAAGCAGACAACCAAGAAAACAGATCAACAGCTCCCACAACAAAACAATCTTCTGACAGCAGTTCAGTCCTCAATCTTCAACTGCTCTTCAAGGCTATCATCTTCAATAATAAGTGTCAACTTGCTTCTTCAAGCTTCTAACACATCCAACATAAGTATCAACTTATTCTTTCTTCTTCCTCAAGCTTCAGCTCTTCATCTGATCTCCATTTGATCTTCTTCACAAGTGTCAACTTGTTCTTCTGGACCTTCAAGCTTCAACTTCAATCCTCCTTACAAGTATCAACTTGTTCTTCTTGATCTACAAGCTTCAGCTCCTAAGAGTAATCTTCAAACACAAAGAAGTATCAACTTGGCATCCTTCAATCTCTTCAAGCAAGGAACTCCATCCTCTAGCAAGGGAGAAAACTTCATCTATCAAGAGCAAAGTTGGATGATTGGTAGCAGAGTGAAGACCAAAGGTCACCACTAAGCATCCTATCATCAGAGACAGGGACCCTCAAAGGTTCTACCAACTTGCAAAGAGCCACACATCCTACCAAAGGAGGGATGAGGCATTTACAAGGGGACCTTACATCATAGGGAAGAATGGAAGTGATCAACATCTTCCATGTTCATGAAGGAAGAGAATCTATCTAAAAGCTCTGCCTACAAACCCTAATCTTAACACCTAATCAACACTACACCAAAAGAAGGGAAGATCTTCACATCCAAGCTTCTTCAAGCAATCCATTTCATCTTCAACTTGCCTTCAACCTCATCCAAGAGCAAGAGAAACAAAACCCTAATCTAAGGGGACTAAAGAAGTCATCCTAGTTGAATTAGTGCCTTAGAATCATCTAGAACTAGCACTTAAACTAAAATCAAACAAAAATAGTAAACTACATTGAAAATTCCTACAAAAATTCCTAAGGGACCATAATTCAATCATGAATCTACCCTACAAAAATCAGAGGTTGAATCATCCACCAAGCTCTAAAAATAAACCCTAAATCATAAGGTATCAACCATAAACCCTAAAAATGGATCTCTTAAAGTTTCAACCTAAAACTACCACCTACATTCATCACAAAAATGTGATAAAAATCTAGGGGAATCATGCACATCTATGCTAGCTACATACAAAAATTTAGCTCAAGAATCATCACCAATTAATCACACAAAATTCAGCAAAGTCAAGCATCAACCATGATTATTTTAATGTCAATTAAAATGTAAAAAAGCCCATAAAATCATAAAATGCATGGAATAATAATATTTTTTATCTAAAAAATACTAGATTCAATCATAAATCCATAGCAAAAAGAATGGGATTAATTGAGTTATTTTTCCATTTTTTATGAATTAATCAATATCCATGAATAAAATGAAAAAATAATGAAAATCAAAAGAAAAATGGCAAGCGCGTGGTGCAGATAGCATAAGAAAACAGTTCATTTTAGGGTTGGGCCCAAAAAGGGGGTGCTGATAGCATCTATTGCATAAAACCCCAAACCATCAGATTAATGAAACGCTGCGTTTCATTTTAGTTCAGAAATCCTTCACAAATTTCCTTCACGCGTGGCCGTTGGATGGGGTCTTTAGTCCAAGTCAACCCAAGATCTAATGGCTCTGGGATCATCTTCCCCAATTTGAATCTCTGAAACTCAGGCCACCTGCGCGCCAGAGTCACCGCCGGTGACATTTTCCGATCAACTTTCCACAACCCTAACTTTCTATAGAATCCACCATAGGCCACGATTCCTTGATGAATCTTGTTCAAAATTTCCTCAGGAATCCATTCATGCCCTTAATTCATTCTAAAACCTCAAGATTCGCAAGAACACAATCTCAACCGAAAATTGGAACAACCCTAATTGGTCACTAATCTTCAAATTAATGGTCCAAAAACCTTCCTACATCAATCCACAATGCATCTAACACCCTAATTCCTCTTGATTCTACCTACATTAAGCCATGGAACAAGAGTTGCATACTTGGTAAAATTGAGCAAACAGAGTGGTTGAATCTTCAAATCAACTTTCAAGAGCTTGCAGAATCCTTCACTGAATCAATTCAAAGCTTCTGTATGCAAAAGGAACACTTGAGGATGCTTGGATTATGGAAACCGAATTTGAATTGCAGGTGAAAAAATCTGAGAGCAAGAACACTATTCAGCCACGAATTTGCCTTGATTATGATCTGGAATCAATTACTAGCATCCATGGAAGTGATTGCACTCAAGAAAATGGATGGAAAGTGAAGAAAATAGTGTAACCGAATTCAGTTGCAAGCAAGAAATTTTCAATCTCAATCATTATTCTCTCCTTCAATTATCACCAACCTTCACTCTGAACCCCTTCTAAATCATATATAGAACATGTATGGATGATCTAGAAAGTTCTAGATCCCTCTAATGAGAAATTCAATTTCTCATGTCATGGAAAGTTCATCTCATGGTGTGTTCATAACAGCTCATGTTGGCAGCTTGTATTCACCCTCATTCTCTTCCAATTTCTCTCCTAATGGTATTTTGGATGTGTTTGGATTGAAAGGAACCTTGGTTATGCCTTGCATATTGGTTTGGCAAATGTTACTTATGATGTAAGTAGCTACTTTTCAAAGCAAGTCCTCAACTTAAACCTCAATTCAAAATTGTGGCAATACCAATGTTCTTAAAATGTGTTTTACAATCAAAATGACATATTACATACCTTGGTTTGGACATGTATATCAAAAATCCCAATTTCCATCTTTGGTTCATTTGAAAATCATCTTTATTTTAAGCCATTTTTGTGATTTTGAGCTACAAGCAATTACAACCTCTCATGACCTCTTGGCTAGCCTTAAAACATC